AATGTTTGTGTAATCGTCATGATATAAATACTGACTAGATTCAACTAAAACTTGTGATATAACTTGTGAGATGTCACAGGAGTCATGACAACAGATCAATATGTACTCCCTACAAACTTACAGATTTATCTCACTATACATACAGTTTAAAAACATGGAGATAAATACTAGGGAAAATAGCCCAGGAGCTGAGAGCCTTAGCTTAGGAAGTTGGTTGTAGGGTGAAAACCGTTACTTTCCATTATTCTTTCCATACTTTGAAAAACATGTACTTGGAATATTTTTGTATGTTTAAGGTTTTTAAATATAATCAATGAACTAAGAAGAGCAATGATAGTTTGATGGCTAATTTTAGTGAATAACTAGTAGCATGTCAGGGTAAACAAAATTCAGGTGTGGATTAAGGAGGGGTTGAAAGGGGATGGAAAAAAGTAGGAAAGAGAGAATCACTTAGAAAGGACAGAGGTATGAGTCCCTGAGTTTTAAACCCAATACCACCAAAAAATAAAATACAACAAAAGCAAACCTTTTAATAATTATGCTAACGTATCATGCAATCAAAGGAAGGAAGGAAAGAGAAAGGAAGGAAGGACGGATGGGAGGGAGGAAGAGAGAGAGAGAGAGAAAGGAAGAAAGAAAGAAAGAAACAAAGAAAGAAAGAAAGAAAGAGAGAGAAGCATTGAAGGAAGATTGAAGGAAAATACTAAAAACAGAATGTAAAATACACACCAAAAAAAAGACCCTAATTATATCTTATTAATACGGTTACTATGCTAAAAGGTACAGTGAAGGATGGGACAGATAAACTCAATATTTTGAGCAAAAGTATTTTAACATATTCTCCGGTTTATAAGAACCCATAAATAATTACTGAAGAGTGCTAATTGGCAAGACTGTTTGTCTGCAACAGTATGGATTAGCAATTTGAAATTACTTTTAGTGCATATTCTACCACAGGGCAGTGAGAGCCAGGCTTATTACTGGGAAAGGTATCAAAAATATGATAATAGGGAAACTAGAATAAACCTGGTGATGTTAGGTGGGAATTTCATATATCACTAGAAACTCATGTTTTAATTGTGCTCTGGCTACCAGTGATAATGTGCTTGTTTTTAGGAAATATATTCTGGAGTAGTTAGGAGAAAGAAACATCATGTGTGCAGTTTACTCTCAAATGGTTCAGCAAAAAGAAGAGAGGAGAGGGAGAGAGAGATTGATTTTTACTTTAAAGCAAATAAGGCAAAATGTTAACAGTTGGGAACCTGGGTTAATATCACATGAGATTCTTCTTTTTTGCCACTTTTCTATAAGCTTGAAATTATTTGAAAATAAATAGCTTTGCAAATTTGTTAAGTAAGGAAAAAGTTCTGTTGTGGGTTTCATTTCATTAGTAAAGTTGAACACTGTTAACAAACCAAATAATCTGTTTCTGTGATTTTTTTTTTTGGGGGGGGGTCCAGTCATGGGGCCTGAACTCTGGGCCTGGGCGCTGTCCCTCAGCTCTTCAGCTCTACCACTTGAGCCACAGCACTACTTCCGTTTTTTTCTTTTTGCTTATGTGGTGCTGAGGAATCGAACCCATGGCCTCATGCATGCAAGGCAAGCGCTCTACCACTGAGCCACCTTCCCAGCCCTCTGTGATTATTTTTACACCTTGGTATTCACCTTTTCCCTTTTGATTTGTAAAGCCTGTTTTTAAATACTTCACTACCATGTATGTTGCATTTCTTCCCTGTGTCTAGTCTTCTTGTTATGAATTTTTCTTTCTTAATGGTGCACCACTGGCATATACACTCATTTTGTTGTTGTTTCATGGTGCAAGGGACCAACCCCTGGGCCTTGTGAATACTAGGCAAGTACTGTGAGAGCACTATGTAACACATAAAATGCGTGTATATATATGTGTACATGTCACATATATACTATACCATATATGTATGTGTATATATACACACATATATGTACATATGTACATATAACACTAATTTTTGTCAGTCGTGGGGCCTGAACTCTGGGCCTGGGCACTGTCCCTCAGCTCTTCAGCTCAAGGCTAGCACTCTACCACTTGAACCACAGCGCCACTTCCAGCTTTTTCTGCTTATGCAGTGCTGAGGAATCAAACCCAGGGCCTCATCAAGCACTCTACCAGTGAGCCACTTTCCCAGCCCCTATAACTAATTTCTAAAAATCAAAACCTGTAGTACACTTGAATATCTATAGTTCATTCAGTGCCTGTATGTTAGCAATAAAAACATATCTTACTAGAAAATGTTTCCCTTTTTTTATTTATATTTTGGTTGGTCGTGGGGCTTGAACTCTGGGCCTGGGTGCTCTCTCTCAGCTCTCCAGCTCAAGGCTAGAACTCTACCACTTGAGCCACAGCACCACTTCCAGTTTTCTGAGTTGTTTATTGGAGATAAGAGTCTCACAGTCTTTCCTGCCTGGGCTGTTTTTGAACTGTGATCCTCAGATCTTAGCTTCCTTAGTAGCCAGGATTACAGGCATGAGCAACCAGTGCCCGGCTCCTTTATTCTTTAAAAAAAAAAAAGCTCTAAGAAATCCTAAGTACTAGGGTTTAAAAAGAAAAGACCAAAATCAAATATTAGGTACTTTGAATCCATGCAGAACATTTTTGAACAATCACAAAGTTCACTATCCAAGTGGTGGAACATGCCTGTAATACTAGCACTTGGAGGCTGAGGCAGGAGGATCACGGGCTCCAGGTCAGCTTGGGCTATCTAAAAATTTTTTTTAAGTCCTAATGACTATCTTTTATGTTTCAGGTACCTGGAAAAAAGTCATTATCCTTAAGCTCTCACATCAGGAATGAAATAGGTTATAATCCTTTCACTAAGGACCATGATAGCAGTATGCACTAGACACTAAGCAAACAGAAGGGCTTTGTTGTGAGGAGTGGTGTTTGGAGAGTTTACTGAAGAGGAAGTAACTGAGGTAAAGGACCCCTTAGGAAGCTAGGAGTCAGTCATTCAGTCAAAGGGCACTATGTCCAAATGAATTCATTTATTCCCTGGAATCCTGTAGGGTCTGTGCTATTGTCATCTCCATCTAGCGAAGTAGAGACAATCAAGAGGTTAAGTAATTGGAACAGTTCACAGGCCAGTAAGTAGAGGGTTCAAGCTATCTCCACCTTTAGGCCAAAGGGCTCGTAGGAGACAGGTCAACAGGCTAGTGTAAGTTCTTTGCTAGTTCTCAAACACTGTAAAAGAATATATCAGTGTTCTCAATATGAAATTTTGAGAACAGTTACAGAATGAAGCATTTTAGTGGAGAATGGATTCAGGGTACTATAATCCAAGAGAAAAAAAATCTAAGGTTTCAGACATCTAGAAGGGTAAACAAATAAGAGGCTGGGTGATCCTAGGAGGTGAAAAGATCAAATACACCAAGTTAACATCTTCTAAGGAGAGTCAACCAGGGGTTAAGAATAGAGGAGGCAAAAATATGAAAAGTGTTGAAGTCATTCAGAAACCATGTGTGTCATTCCTGAAGACTAAGAAGGAGAATTAGGATGAGGAAATAACAGTATGGCAAATTGTCCTGACCTCAAAGAGTACCTACCGGTAGTTGTTTTGCAGTGACAGGACAATAACGAGAAAATGAAAACAGGAATGTGAGTGCTTCCCCTCCCCCTTGAAGAACTAGCTGGTTATGATTAATGCTCTACCACTTGAACCCTGCCTGCTTTTTCCTTGTTATTTTGGAGATGGAATCTCTCAGACGCCCCCCCTCTCTCCCACTGTGAACCTCCGGATCTCAAACCCCTGAGTAGCTAAGAGGATAGGCATGCCCTAACTACATGACAAAATAGTAATGTTTTTGAGTTTGAGGGAGGGCTATGAGAGAAAAACGGGGCCCAGAGAGAAATAAAAATAAGATGCTCCTTAAGGTGAAATCTTGGAAGAAAACCAGAGGGCAGAGGTGGGTTTTGGAAAACAGATTTTTAATAGGACAGGGCTTCCCCAAGGTTGCTTGGTAAGAAACTGTTAGGGACCAATGAGATGGTGCCTGGGGGAGAAGGAATGGGGTTGGAAAGGGTCAGGAGGTAAGAAGGATGTGTGGGGTGTAGACTTGCTTGGAAGCCCCTAAAGTTCTGCAACTTCCAAGGCTTCAACCACCATGTATGATGCCTGGCGGGTGGCCTGCATCGGGGGGCCACACAGGTGCACGTGGGGGTTGGGGTGGTGGTGGTGAGGGGAGAGGTATTGATGGGGGGGGAAACCCTGTGCTTCGATTCGCTCAACTGCTCAGGGCTGAAGGATCCCTTGGGGTCAGAGCTTGCTTACCTTCCCGGGAACCCCCAGGCCCTGGAGGATGGCGGGTCTGTCTGCCTCACAGGCCACAGAGCCACACCGCCCGCGCATGCAGGTCCCCACACAAACGCAGGGGCCCCGCTCTGCGTCAACCCGCCGTCGCGGGTGACTTCTTTTGGACGCGGTGGTTACATTAACTCAAGGCCCCACGGTTTGTAAAACCACGGCCGGCGGTCCCCGCGGGCCCAAAGGGAAATGCGGCCTCCGCCGCAGGTGGCTGGGTCCCAGCGGCCCGGGGGGGACCCGGCCCGGCCCACGGCGCCCCCTCCCGGGCAAGAGGGGGAAAAGGCGGGGACGGAGGCGGGCCGCGGCGCCGCCTTCGGGGCCAGAGCGGAAGGCGGCGAGGACCGGGGCGGGTTTCGGTACCTGGTGGCCCTCCCGCCACCAGCCGCTCAGGGAAGACCGCAAACTCGAGCTCCCCGCCGGCCGCAGCGGCCGCGCGTCTCCGCGCGTGGCGAGGAGGCGTGACGCGAACAGGGCGGGACCCGTTGGGCGGGGCCTTTGAGGGCGGAGCTAAAGCAGCGGGCAGGCATTGGACCAATGGACGCATCCGGATTGGAGGGCGAGGCCTTGAAGGGGCGGCACTAAAGACGGCGGGGCGCGGCGGCGCCTGTGGGCGGGGTCTGGGGGGGGGGACGCACGCGTGCTGGGGCGGCCGCGGGAGGCGGGAGGGTGGAGCCGAGGCGAGGCCTGTCCGGGTGAGGTGGGCGCACGGGGCCTGTCAGGGTAGGACAGCCCTGTTGGAGAGGACGGGGCGAGGGTAGGAGCGGCCGCGGTCGGTAGGGAGGGGTGCGGATGTGGGCGGGGTGGCCGCGGCGGAAGCTGCGAGGCCCGCGGGCGGGGGCGGGATGCCACCCGGTGCGAGGCCCGGGCTTCGTTGATGAGGTCCCTGAGGAGGAGAGGAGGCCAGCCGAGAGTCCCGGGAGAGGCCCCACCCCACCCTCACGCGGGGACTGGGTCACGCCTGGACTGGACCGAGCCCGAAATGGGAGTTGCTATGGGCAACCAGCTAGGGTGATCAGACCCTGTCTCCTGGGATATTCCTGATTTTAGGACATAACCATTCCTCCCCTCTCCCCCCCCCCCCCCCCGTGGTGACCCTGTGCTGCCTCTTCTGCCCCTCTTCTAATTTAGCGTCTCCACCCGTATTAGACCTGGACATGCAGGCCTCCTGACCTTTCACCCTGCCTTTCCAAAAGTAGAGCCCTCCATAACACTTTTCCGAATATGCTAGTCCTTGTAAGGGAAACACTTCAATGGAGCCTTCCTCCTTTATAAAGGTAGGTGGGCTAGAAGAGAACGCCTTGTTTTATATTACTGTCCCGTAGAAATCAGATTTTGCCCCGCGCCAGTGGCTGAGATCAGAGGATCTCACGCCAGAGGATCTGCCAGGCCAAGGCAGACACATCCGTGAGACTCTTTATTTCCAGTTAACCACCGAAAAGCTGGAAATGGGAACTGTGGCTCAAATGGTAGAATGGCAAGTCTTTTTTTTTTTTTTTCAGTCCTGGGGCTTGAACTCAAGACATGGGCACTGTCCCTGAGCTGCTTTTGTGCAAGGCTAGCACTCTACCACTTGAGCCACAGCACCACTTATGGCTTTTTCTGGTTATGAACCCAAGGCATCATACATAGTAGGCAAGCACTCTACCACTAAGCCTCATTCACAGCCCAGAGTGCCAGTCTTGAGTAGAGAAAGCCAAGTAGGAGTGTGAGACCCTGAATTCAAGCCATATTACCAATGCAAAAAAGTCACAGTTTACCCCAGATATATAGTAATGAGGATGATTCTATGTGCAAATTAGAACTTCAATTGATTCCAGAGAATAAAAATCAGCTTAACATTTCCTCTTAGCTCTCACGTCACTAAACTGAAAACCTAGATAATCAGAAAATCTGATAGGATGGAGACAGAGATAATTCAATTGTTTCCTTTTCCAACTCAGAAACCTTCCTGGTATTACATCTGTTTGATCCACTCAACTGCAGGATGAAAGCTGTACATAGGAGCACAAAGTGAATGGAAGACAACTGTCATTGTGAGTCTGGCTTTTGATTAGACATCCCCAGAGTGTCATGACTGAGGCAGCTGAGACAGCTTGTCAGCCTGCAGCTAAGTCACAGAAGTGGGTACTTAGATGCTTTCTCTTTATGTTCGATTGTTGACTATCTTTGAGTCACACTGGAAACAATGAGTTTATTTCATGTGGCTCTAATGAGTCACCTCATATTGTGGTTATTACTCAAATGACAGAGCAACATCAGATATTAGGAGACCATTACGTTCTGTTTGCTTCTTTGGTGGGTTGTTTGGTTTGATTTTGGAGACAGTCTCACAGTGTAGACCAGACTGGTCTTGAACTATGATAACCCTGTCTCAGCCTTCTGAATATTGGAATTACAGGAGTGCACTACCACCTTGGCTCACCACTAATTTTTATAAGAAAAACAGATTCTGTATGAGGATGGATTGAATGGTTTTCAATGCCTTGGATAATTTCCCCAGGGAAACAGAAAGTAGAGAAACTATTCTAAATGTGACTATTCTAAGACATTTAGCAATCAGTCATACCAATCTAGGGAGCAATGAGAAATGTATATCTCATGAATAGGTGAAAGTCCCCAGTGTGGTTTTATCTTTTTTTTTTTTTTCAGATGTACGTATTTCGGCACTCTGAACAGACACTAAAAACTGCCCTCATCTCAAAGAACCCAGTGCTTGTGTCACAGTATGAGAAACTAGATGCTGGGGAACAACGCTTAATGAATGAAGCTTTCCAGCCAACCAGTGATCTCTTTAAGCCTATTACTTTTCAATCACAGTCAGATTGGATTATTTCCCACCCTGAGGTTCCCCAAGACTTTGAACAGTTTTTCAGTGATGCCTACAGAAAGACACCGACTCCAGAGAAGCACACTATTTATATACAGTCTATAGGTATGGTTTTGTGTGATTTGCTTTGCAGTGGTGCTGTGGTCAGAGACTCTTTGGATTGTTGGCCTGATTCATGTGGAGGCAAGCCTGTTTTGGCCTCCCCTTGAACTGTAGTCTGGGCTGGCCTCAAACTCAAGATTCTCCTACTTCAGCTTCCCAAGTACTTGGATTATAGTCATGTGCCATTACACCTGGTTTAAGTGGCAAACTTTTATGATTTTTTTAAGAGTTGGAAATTGAATCTTGGACCTTGTGCATGCTAGGCAGCAGTCCATTTGTCAGTATTTTGCATTAGTGTATGATTGTACCAAAGTGAAGGGTTTCATTGTGATATTGGCATAGATTATGATCACTTGTGATGCTCATTGAAGAGGTTTTGTACTAAACTGACTTAAAAATGAACATTTTGCCACCAGCAACTGTGTTTAGAAACATAGCGATTATTGTTTTTGTAACGTCAAATTACTAGCTTATAGAGTGAAGGCAAGATTGGATATTTTGATCATTATAAAGTCTTAAAATTGTCTCCACTATTATAGGATCTCTGGCAAACACCAGAGTTATCAGCGAAGAATATATTAAGTGGCTGAAGAGCTACTGTGAAGCATTTTTCTATGGTCTGACAGTAAAACTCCTAGAACCGGTGTCTGTTTCTGCCACAAAGTGTTCCTTTCGAGTTAACGATCACACACAGAACCTACAGATTCATGCAGGTGAATGCAGCAACTTTACAGCTGGAATTTACCAAAGGAAATTCATGTATGATGTATGCAAACACACATATATATTTCTTTTTAAAATAGGACATATCCTGACGTTTTTAAAAAAGAAGAAACGTGAAGATGCCTTCTGTGTTGTGGGGATAACAATGATAGATCTTTACCCAAGAGACTCCTGGAACTTTGTCTTTGGACAGGCCTCTTTGACGGATGGTATTCCTTTTTGACATTGTTTGATGGTAGAAACTTCTGTAACGTGAGAATATTTGAAGATATTAAAAGAGAAAGCATTCTAGCCAATGATAGCTTTGATATTTAAAACTGTATGGTATTTGCAATGAAGGACCATTCATGCTATTGTGGGAAGTAGATTCTCCAGAGACTCTGATCTGGGTTTCTCTCTAGCTGTTTGACCTTGAGGTAATGTTACCTATTTCACATGAGAGTCCTACGGGCAGTTCCCCTGCCATGACCCTACCAACAAGCTGTCTTGGATATTGGGTCATTTTTCTCTTGCTAACTTTTAATCAGAAGTTCCTCCTTCAGTTGTTAACCTGGCAGAAATGGAAACATTAAAAATAACTTCAAGGCCAGGAATTGGTGGCTCACGCCAGTAATCCCAACTGTTCAGGAGGCTGAGATCTGAGGCTTGGGGCAGGAAAGCCCAAAAGACTCTTATTTCCACTTAATCAGTAGAAACCTGAAAGTGGAGATCTGGCTCAAGTGGTAGAGCATCAACTTGGAGTGAAAAAGCTAAGGAAGAACACTCAGACCCAATTTTGCTATTGCTAGCTAGTTTATCTTGTACCTTTGAGGCCAGGATACATTTATTTCTATTTTCAACTATTTTTTTTTGAGAGAAGGATATGTTTTTAAAGATTTTTGTGATGATGAGACTTGGTAAAGTTGCAGGGAGACTCTGAGATGCAGTGAGACAGTATCATACCACAGGTTTGAAGTTGGATATTTTAAAATTGAGAAACATTTATTACTAGTAAAGTGGTCATCTATTTGTAAGAAACAGAAGGCATACTTTTCCAAACAATACTATTATATAAAGTAGCCTCACAGTTGTTTGCCCAGAGGAGGTCACTTTAAGTAAGTATGTGAGTTGATGTAGTTTTTTTCTTAACCTCCAGAATAATATCTTATCCTAAATTTCACCTCTCACTTTCTGAAAATGAGGTAAGGAACATTCTTCTGAATCAAATTGCAGTGGATAAACTTCCTCTGAGTTTATTTCCTTACCAAAAAAAAAAAAAAAAGTGTCAGGGGCTAAGAACACAGAGCCCTTGGTTAGCTTGAGCAGGGCTCTGGATTCCATCCCCAATACTGCAAAGCAAAAATGGAACATGATTAAAGAAGGAGCTGAAAGGGTGGCATAAATAAAAGCGATCATGTAAACAAGTCCAGTTATACAACAGTCTCCCACAGTGACTGCAAGCTGTGCAGTCTGTGCAGGCAGAGATGGTAGATAGAACTGTAAATGTTACACAGGAAGTCAGTGACCAGGGTATTTATTCTGGTCACCGGATACCACCCACAAAATAGAAGTGTGCTGTACTTTACAAAAGAGTGAGGGGGAAGGAGGAGGTTATTGCCCAAAGTCGTGCTCCAAACCATATTTTTGAGATATCAAGGGCCAAGGTGGGACATGAGAGGAAGCCAGGAGCCCTTGCTAGACATGAGTGAAGCAGAGATCTGTGTGTTGTTTCTGCAGGTAATCCTCATGGCTGTGTTCATGGGGTTATTTTTCATGACTCCATTTAGAGTGCTTTTGAAAAAAAAAACAACTTTTTTTTTTGGGGGGGGGTGGTAGTACTGGAGTTTAAAGGCACTTGGCTAGGTTGGCACTTCACTGCTGAGCCATGCCTCCAGCCTTGTTCGTCACTGGTTATTTTTTAGAATAGGGACTCACTTCCCACCCAGACACACACCTGGACTGCAGTCTTCCTACTTTATGTTTCCTGTAGTTGTGAGGATCACAGGGGTGGACCACCTTGTCCAGCGTCCCTTTGTGGAGATGACATCTTATGGACTTTTCTACCCTGGCCTGGAACTTCTGTCCTCCTGACCTCAGCTTCCCACTTTGCTTGCCATGACAGGCCCAGACTCTTGCATCCAGTGATGAGTTAAGAAGTAAAGTTTACTGCCTACACTGGCCTTGAGCCAGTAATCTTCCCATTTTTAGCTCCTCCCACTCCCCCTCCCCACTAGAAATATAGGTGTGAGCCATTGGCACTTGGCTCAACATTTTTCATTTTGACCATTAAATTTCACAGAGGAAAGCAAATTGGGTAGCAGATAAAGATTCTGATAGGGAAACCAGGGGGAAAAGTCCTCTTTATGTTGGCAAATCCTAAGTGTATTAGACTCTGGGAATAGTAGTACCGAGGTGCACTCTCTGAGTAGATGTTCTAGCAAGCATCTTCCTGTAGGAATCTCACCCTCCACCTCTGGTTGCTGTTATCTTTACAGGTGTGGGGATATTCAGCTTTGCCAGGTATGGCAAGGATTTCTATAGCTCCCACTATAAGGGCAAGGTGAAGAAGCCTAAGAGAGTATCTTCTAGTGACTATTCCATCTTTAATAACTACTATGTCCCTGACATCACTAGTGCATTGCTGCTGCGATCCTGTAAGGTAAGTTGTTTAAATATACTACAAGAACAAGCCCGGTGCTGGAGGCTCACGCCTATAATCTTAGCTACTCAGGAGGCTGAGATCTGAGGATAATGGTTCAAAGCCAGCCCGGGCAGGAAACTCCGTGAGACTCTTATCTCCAATAAACCACCAGAAAACTAGAAGTGGCACTGTGGCTCAAGTGGTAGAGCACTCACCTTGAGCTGAAGAGCTGAGAGGCAGTGCCCAGGCCCAGAGTTCAAGCCCCATGACTGACAAAAAAAAAAAAAAAAAACCAAGAAACTACAAGAACATTAAAAAAATAAATGAGAGAGAGAGACTGTAATTGCTTAGGGCATATACTATCAAGTACATAAGTGAATTTGGATCATTTGTATACTTTTGGTTGCTCTTGCTGGACTAAAATAATCAATAAAGACAGAATTTTAACTGGATGCCTTTACAACAAACTTTACAATACTGGTGCAAGGTTTGGTCCTGCTGCCATAGGCAGACGGGCTGTTCCTTTGTCCTCACAGTTAATCGTTCTTGGATTCCAGTATTCTCATTCAGGCTGCTATGATCACAGAGAAAAACTGCTTTCCTTCCCATGGAGGCTGGAGAACCTTTGTTTTCTGGCCTGTCCCGGAAAACTTCTGTGACAATTCCTAACATCTCCCTCCCCTCCTGCTCCTTGCAACACACACAGCTTGCAGCCCTTTGGAAAGCCTGTCCTCCCATTTCCCCCTTAGTTACATAGCTTAACATGTTCTGCTTTCCCCAGAACTATTTGTTGGGCTTTGAGAAATAAGCCTCTTAGAACTGTTAAGCTCAAAGAAGGTTCCAATAGTGTCCTTAGTACCAGCAGATCAATCCCCGACTCTTCCTCCCAGTTGGAGCCGGGGGTGGGGGGCGGGCGGTGGAAAAGGCCCAAGATCTGAACTGTAATAAGTAACCTGACCAAGAGTTAAGTGTTCTCAACCAAGGATGAATTTACTACCCAGGGGTCTGGAGACATTGTCCATGGCCACAGTTGGGGAGGGTTCTCCTGTTATCTAGTGGATAGAGGCCAGGAATGCTGGAAAGCTTCCCATAACACCCAAGACTGCTCCCTCCAGATGACATTAACCATCCAACAGTCAGCAGTATGGAAGGACAAAGTGTGGTCCAGAGGATGTTAAGCAAAGCAAGTAAGGCATTGGGACATTTAGGAAACGATAGATTACTAAGTCTGGAGATCTGAAACTCTTGAGTTAATTCCTGTAAATCTGTTTCTTGGAAAAGCAGGCAAAGTGATGTGTAACTTGATGATGGTGGTGCTGTAATGCCACAGTGTTGAATGTCTTGCAGACTTTAACCCATGAGATTGGACACATATTTGGACTGAGACACTGCCAGTGGCTTGCATGCTTAATGCAAGGCTCCAACCACTTGGAAGAAGCTGATCGGCGTCCTCTAAACCTTTGCCCTATCTGCTTGCGCAAGTTACAGTGCGCTCTTGGCTTCAATATTGTGGAAAGATACAAGGTAAATTTGGGGGCTGATTGGAGGGAAGTGATTATTTAAGAAGCAAGCTGATATGTTCTATTAGATCCTGTAGGGTGATGATTTATCAGAGGAAATCATTGTAGGAACATGCAGGAAGTTGTGGTTTAAAAAAAAAAAAAAAAAAAGCAAAGAATCCTCTCCCTTGAAAACTTCATCTTGACTCTGTCTCACACTTACAATTCAGTGGCTAATGGTGACAGTTTATTTCCAATCTATTTAGGACAGGAGAGATTGATTGACTTTGCAAAAGAAAATAAATATTGAGGCTGGGCACCGGTGGCTCATGCTTGTGATCCTAGCTACTCAGGAGGCTGAGATCTGAGGATCACGGTTCAAAGCCAGCCCAGGCAGGAAAGTCCATGAGACTCTTAACTCCAATAAACCACTAGAAAACCGAAGTGGCGCTGTGGCTTAAGTGGTAGAGGACTCGCCTTGAGCTGAAGAGCTGAGGGACAGCGCTCAGCCCCAGAGTTCAAGCTCCACGACCGAAAAAAGTAAATATTGATAAGTGTAGTAAAGTTCATTTTTGTAAGTCATATAAATGTGCATATGTGATTATACCCATTAGGAGGAGGGGATGATTTCCTTTAAGAGAGAAGAGGAAAAGTAATTTTCATAAGTATGCATGTGTGTCCACACATATTGGTATGTATGTGTGTGGACTTAAATGTCTACATTCAGGGCTGGAAGTGTGGTTCAGCAGTACAGTACTTATCTAGTCAAGTATGAGGTCCCAAGTTCAAACCACAGTACTGCCACACAAAAAAGTGTACATCTGCCAGGTGCCGGTGGCTCACACCTGTAATCCTAGCTACTTAGGAGGTTGAGATCTAAGGATTGAGGTTCAAAGCCAGCCAGGCAGGAAAGTCTGTGAGACTCTTATCTCCAGTTAACCACCAGAAAACCTGAAGTGTCTCTGTGGCTCAAGTGGTAGAGCACTAGCCTTGAGCTGAAGAGCTCAGACACAGGGCCCAGGCCCAGAGTTCAAGCCCCACAACTGACCCCCCCCCAAAAAAAAATATATATATGTATCTATATCTGTGTCTTTGCATACATGTCTTTCTAAGCCTTGTGTCCACTTATATTAAACTAAAAGTATAATGAAATGTCTTATAGGGTATTTAATAAGTTGAGGAAATAAAGCTATTATTATCCTACCATTTGAAATTAAATAGTATAAGAATAGTGTATTTACTTTTCATCATTTTTCCTCTGATACTCTTACAAATATGTATATAGTCTATGCTATTTCATTCAATATGTTATCTGTGCTATTTTATATTCATGGCAATCTTTATCAAATTCAGTCTTCATGAGTTAATAGATTAGATCACAGTGTAGACAACACTGAATGCCAATGTTTTTTTCTTGCCTGACTGTTGTGCTGTGATTCACTAAAATGTAGATACTTAGCTGGATGCCAGTGGCTCACGACTGTAATCCTAGCTACTTAGTAGGCTGAGCTCTGAGGTTCCTGGTTGGAAGGCAGCCTGGGCAGGAAAGTCTGTAAGACTCTTATCTCCAGTTATCCAGCAAAAAATCCTGAAGTGGGGCTTTGGCTCAAATGATAGAGCAAAAAAAGCTAAGAGACAGTGTCCAGGCTCTGAGTTCAAGCCCTAGTACCAGCACAAAATTCTATTAAAAAAAAAAAGTGTAGATGAGCAAATAAAATGTGAAAGTTTTCTGTCTTTCCAGGCACTGGTGAGGTGGATCGATGAGGAATGCACTGACACGCCAGCTCCAAAGCCCAGCTGTGAGAATGCCGTGAGTGTGCCGAAACCAGTGGAAGCCTTTAAGGAATGGAGAGAGTGGGTGGTAAAATGCCTTGCTGTTCTCCAAAATCAGGAGTAATTAAATCAGTCCTTGCATATTACTTTCATTGGGTGGAGTCCTTTATTGGGGAAAAAAAAACCCCATTTGCCCATTCTATGCAATGTCTGAGTAACAGATTAGAACCTTCTTTTAAGTAGCAGGACTGAAAGGAGGTTCGTTGTGGATAGTAAAAAGCATTTTATCAGGCTGGGAAGGTGGCTCAGTGGTAGAGCACTTGCCTTGCATGCATGAGGCCCTGGGTTTGATTCCTCAGCACCACCTAAGCATTAAAAAAAAAAAAAAGCCAGAAGTGACGCTGTGGCTCACGTGGTAGAGTGCTAGCCTTCAGCTGAAAAGCTGAGGGACAGCGCCTGGGCCCAGAGTTCAGGCCCCACAACCGGACCCAAAAAAAAAAAAAAAAAAAAAAGCATTTTATCTTACTAGCCTGCTCTGAGGCAGTAAGTACATCATTTCTATTTTAAAATGTTTACGTCTCACAAGAAAGCTAAGATTAGTAATAGCTAGCTACTACATAAATAAATACTTTAAAAGTAGCTCTATATATGTTTCAGGGAATAAACCAACAGTCTTGCAGGGGTGGCTTTTGTTTTTAGAAGAGATGCTGCTGTCCCTCGCAGGTCACCATTAGGAAATTCCATAGGCTCGTCTTTCATTCTCTACCCCTCTTTTTCTCTGATTATTTCCTACCCTCTAGGGTGCTTTTCATCTCTCTTTGCTTTTTATCAGCTGATCTCTCTCTAAAAAAAAAAAAAAAAGCAACAGCTTGTGACAGATTTTAACAGTTTAAGGTATACCCCCCTCTCAAAAATATTTATAAGAGCCGGGTTTTAGCGGCTTACACTTGAAATCCTCGCTACTCAGGAGGCTGAGATTTGAGGGTTATGGTTCAAAACCAGCCCAGGTAGACACACCTGAGAGACATGTATCTCTAGCCAACCCTTAGAAAGCCAGAAATAGAGCTTTGAGTCGAAAATGCCAAGCAATAGCTTGAGGCTCTGAGTTAAAACCCCTGTATCAGTGCCTGTGTATGCACACACACACACACACACACACACACACACACACACACACACACACACAGAATATAAGTGATACTTGGCCTACAGCACCTTGGGGTGAGGTTACATTGCCATTCTGAGCTATAACTGATCTTGGGTCGATATTTATGTTTATGTGTGTGCTCTCAGTCTATAGCTTAGAGAAGATTGAGGCTTATTCCTGTAATGCCTTGCTTAGTTTGCATTGTGAGGTGTTTGATGGGGAGAGGATGCTGTGAGTTGATCTGCTGGGAGGCCATGATTCCCATGATGGAGACCCTGCAGGTAGTGACAGTTGCCATGGTGGCAATCAGGTTGATAAGCTTGGACTTGAAAAACTACCTCTGCTATATCACCATGTCCTGGAGATGTAGAAGTGAGACTATATCGTTTTCCTGGCTGCCTGTGAGCTGACACTAAGAGCATTTTCCACTTTGCCATCTTCAGACTTAAGGGTATTTAGTTTTCTTCTTTTTTTTTTCTTTTTCCTTGTGCTTTGAAACCAAAACTCTCACCATTGTTATCTACGCAGTCTGTTGGAAGGCGCAGTCTATATTTAATGATTTCCTTTACGTTCCACATTTTTAACTTGATTAAACTGCTTTAAATTGTTTTTTCAGGAGTCTTTGTTGTTTTTTTTTTTATTATGTAGTACAAAGGGGTTTCAGTTCCACAAGTCAGGTTATGAGTACAGTGCATCTTGATCAATCTCACGCCTTCCATCCTTCTCCCATCTTCTCCAATCCCGTTTCTACCCTCAAGTTACATAGTTGAGTGTTTACATAATGTACATTGACTATAATGACTGTAATTGCTCATTCTTTCTCCTCATTCACGTGGCCCTGTTACCCTAAGCCACTTCAGTTATGTTAGAAAAATGTTTTGAAGCCAGGCATGGTACACACTCTAGAACGTGAGGCAGGGGTCCTTCAACTTGAGGTCCTTGCTAGCAACATAGTGAGTCCCCAGGTCAGTCCAGATTACACAGTGTTTCCTCATCTCAGTAAAACCAACAAATAACAAGAGAAAAAAAAGTCTGCTATTATAATTAATTAGAGGGCTGGGAAGGTGGCTCAGTGGTAGAGTGCTTGCCTTGCATGCCTGAGACCCTGGGTTGGATTCCTCAGCACCACATAAGCAAAAAGAAAAAAACCGGAAGTGGCGCTGTGGCTCAAGTGGTAGAGCGCTAGCCTTGAGCTGAAGAGCTGAGGGACAGCGCCCAGGCCCAGAGTTCAGGCCCCACGACCGGACCCCCCCCCCCAAAAATATATATATATATATAAATAAAATTAATTAGAGAATAGTTGGCCATTCTAATCCTCAGATGGAACACAGAATTTTATAGATTTTGTCTGAGGGCTGGGAAGTTGGCTCAGTGGTAGAGTGCTTGGCCTTGCATGCATGAGGCCCTGGGTTGGATTCCTCAGCACCACATAAGCAGAAAAAGCCGGAAGTGGGGCTGAGGCTCAAGTGGTAGAGTACTAGCCTTGAACTGAAGAGCTGATGGACAGCGCCCAGGACCAGAGTTGAGGCCTCACGACCGGGGGGGATTTTGTTTGAGTTTTATTTCTTTGAATAATGTGTTTATTATCAAGGTACTGTACAGAGGGGTTACCATTTTGTAAGTCAGGTAATGAGTGTATCTTCCTTCCTTCCTTCGTCTCTCTCTCTCTCTCTCTCTCTCCCTCTCTCTTTCTGAGACAATGTCACCCCTTCTTTTGCTTTCCCCCAGTTACCCCCTCCTGAACAATGAACTTTATGGCCCATTCTCATACATTTTTGTTCATTGTCAAACAAGGGAATGACATCTAGTCCTGTAGGTCTGTATTAGTAGTACAGAGGTTGGGCACGCTTGCCTAGCATGCACTAGGCCCTAGTTTCAAACTGCAATACTGTGCTCGCATGTAAACACACACACAAACACACGAAGGGGAAAAATAACCCTCAAGCCCCACCTTTAGGAGAGAGGGGTAACGGAAGAGTAGCAAGGCTTCCCCCTGGTTTGTGGATCCGCCTTTTTACTTGGTTCGGCTGCGGGGATCATCGTAGCAGTTGGATGAAGTTGCAGGCTCGCGCCAGGTGAGCCAGGCTGGCCGGGCCTCACCGTGCGGCTGTGCGCGCACCTCGCCCGGCCCCGGCCTGCCGTCCGAAGCACGGGCTTTTCTTTTTCTGTCGCGGCGGTACTGAGGTTCTCCAACTTGCAAGGCAACTCCACCTGAGCGACACCCCCAGCCCCTGGTGTGGCCGATTTCGAAATCGCCAGCTCGGAAATGCTCCTAGAGGCGGGAGCGGGCTGGAGCTGGGAGCCCAGATGCTAAAATCCAAGCAGGCGGCCACGGGACTGCTATAGCTGGCCCTGCGCGCAGGCCCTCCCCGGCCCTGCCCGGCCCGGCCCTCCCCTGCGTCCCCTTCCCCGGCCCTGCCCGGCCCTTCCCGCGCAGGAAGCGTTCGCCCGCCCGGATTGCGCCCGGGGAGAGCGGACGCGCGCGCGGCGCCTGCAGTGGCCGCCACCTGTTTCCGCCCGTCCGGCTGCCGGGACTTCCCCTTGGGCAGAAGTGCAGAGTCGGCATCGGCCTGCCCAGGTGCCCGAGACCCCGGGTAACCTCCTCCGCCCCTCCTTCGCATCCTCGGGTGCCCGGAGAGCCTCCTTCCCCGGGAGCCTGCGGCCACGCCCCTCCTAGACACCGAGCCCCGCGGAGCCCAGCGCCCAGCTGGGCCTCGGAAGATCCGGATGGAGGTGGCAGCGCCCGCAGTGAGTGGCTTCCGTTCTCTTGTCAAAGCTGGAAACGTAGTCACCCTTTAGGTTTCTGCTATCCAGAGCAGCACAGGCCAGTAGGAAGATAATGCGGGCCACGGAGTTTAACTTTTAAGTGCAATTAGCACACGCAAAATTAAGATAAAAGCAAACCAGGTGTTGGTGGCTCGTGCCTACAGGGTCGCCACTGCTAGCCAGTCCTGTTTCCAGTGAACCTGCAAACGCCTTACTGGAGGTGTGGCTTAAGTGGTAGAGCACAGCCGTGAACTATCAAGCTGAGAGCCTGGGGCACTAAGTTCAAGCCCCAGTACCTACACACTCGTATTTGGTGCTCGCACATAAGCAAGCTACACACAAGCAAGTGGAGTTAATTTCAGTCACATATTCAGTGTATCTATACCATCGCTCCAACATGTAATCAGTATGAATATTGAGATGTTTTATATTCATTTACCATGTCAAGTTTTCCATATCTGGCATACTTTGCACATAGCATGCCTCAGTGGGAACAGGTCGGGGCTCAGCCCAGTTGGCTGGTGGCTCATCTATTGGTCTGAGCAGCTCTACATTAAGATCAGTCTCTAGTCTGTCTGGAAAGTTAAACCCGGGAAATAGAGTTGGCAGGAGAGAAAGACTGGGCATAGTGAAGGTCTAGGCATAGTGAAAGCCGCTGGTTCGAGTATCTGATGAGTTTGTGATGGTTCTGGAACTTCATGCAGAACTTTATGCAGGTTTTGTTTGTTTGTTTGTTTTTAATCCTCCTCTTTCACTGCCAAGGGCCTGGCTTTACCTTTCACACATTTTCAGTTTGGGAAAGTGACTTGTAAAGTGTTCCTGAAGTAGAGATTGCCTTGCTCATTTTCTGGGTGTGGTCAAGCTAGTCTGCCAAGTAAATGTGCTGTGCAGTTACACCAAAGGTAAAAAATGGGGCCATCTCAAAAGTTTTCCTAATTTCCAGTTCTGCAGTGTTTTCCCTGTTACCTGACCTCATGGAAGTAAAATACAGCCAGAAGTCAAAATGATTTTTTTTTCATATTGTTTATAAAGGGGCTTATAAGATTAAACTTCCTTTCAACTTCTCTAATCAAGTGGAGCCATCTGGAATTGCTCAGAGTCAGAGAAGTCGGGGCTTTGTATTTCTGCCTTAGCACTAAGATGAGAGTTACAGTGTTTGGAAAAGCACGCCTGTATCAGTTAAAACATTAGACAAAAAAATACACCCCCCCCCCAATCATTTACTGGCTAAGGATGTACTCATGATAGAGGACTTGCTTA